TAGCGCCAGGAAACAAACGCCGCACCATTAATTATGCGGGTCAACCAGACCCGAATGAAAACATTGTGCCGTTTGTCACTGTACTCTGAAAACGGATCGAGCTTGATCTGAAACGTCAGATATCCCTAATTAAAGACTATTTCATACGTTGTCTTCCCGTTTGTGACTTTCCTAAAGATTTTATCACCTCCCGCATAAAGAAATCATGTATGATTTTCAATATCGTAACGACAACGTGGTTTGTTGAGCGTTTTTAAAATGGTTGATATAGCACCTGATCTAGTGAGAAGTGACTGTGACCATTATCGTTGGGTGCAACGGTCGTCCTTAATCCCTCTTAAATCTTAGTTACGACAGAGTGAGACTTTGCCTCACTGGGGTGCCCATGCCTGTCTCCTTTAGGCGTTATATGTTACTACAGGTTTCCATATTTCCATACTCCTTCAGCGTTTAGCTCGTCTTTCCATCCTAGGTGGTATTTCGAGTAGCAACCGTCATCTCTTTGATAACAAAGTTCGTCCGTTAATCAATCAGTGCAAACTGGCTGGCAATTAATCAATGCAAACTGGCTGGCCCATTCGGTCTTTTACACATATAAGAAAAACAAACGTTAAATTCGCAGTTCGTACCTGATCTTTAATACGAGTTACCATCATCTGATGGCTCGCTGCTGTACTCTTAATAATTCATTTGCATTTTGTGAAGGATCATGTCTCGCTTCCAACCATACAAAGAACGAACAACGAGCAAGAATGCTTTGATAAAACACGATTCCTCCTCCAAATGGTAGTTTTTTTCAAGAATAAATACGCATAACTGAAAAAATTACGATCATCGGCAAACGCCGCTGAAATCAACTTCCTGCGACGAATCGTTAGGCTCAGGCAAGATGCCACAGCAACACTTCAGATGCCCAAAACAGCCTTTGCATACAGCGTCCATTAATCCAGATTAGGAAGGTCCAGCTGCAATAGTTCGGCACGCTTTGCGAATGCTTCCAGCAAAGGGGAAACAGCTGCTACTTGCTCAACCGACCAACCCAAACCTCCCTCCCCCGGGAAAGCCAAATATCCGGTCTTTGGATGTTTCTGTCGAAACTGAGACGCTGGTGCAGGATCGCAAACGCTGAACACAATGTCGGACAGTTCCGCCTGTGCGATCCAAAACGAAATGTAGCTATTGAAACTGACTGATCGACTGGCTGACAGCGGTGAAACAGCAAACAGTGTGAACGCTGTTTGTACTCTTACTCTATTTACCAGTTTCGGAAGTACTCTTGCGTTGCATTATAATTATTAACACCGGATTTACTCAGCGTAAGCGCACCACTCAGTTGCTTCTAGACACCTACAGAGACCGTTCAAGACAGTTCAAAGAGTGAGCAACTGCAATGCATCGAATACAAGACCACATCTCTGAGTTGGGCCGACCAGGGGCGCATCCGAGCAACCTGAACGAAATTGTAATATGAACTTTAATATGTACCGGCGGAGAGCTACCATTCATGGTGGCTATCTCAACGTCGGAGTTATTTTGTCCAATCATACACTATTTACGTTTTCTACTTTCTTCGAAAACTCGTCCATTTGTTCATCTTTAGATATCGCTGCTGTCTGTTTGACAACCTTAGACAGTGCTAATTCAGATGTTCTGTCTATTTAGAGAATACAAGGTCTACGCGACTGGAAATGAATTCTAGCTTATAGGTCAATATCATATATGCTTATTGGCATTTCCACTGCATATAACATTATCAGATTATTACAGAGAAGCCAGTTGCTGAAGCTACCCCTGAGTCGGTCCGACTTGCGTAATGGCAGAATGTCACTACCGGTAAAGCCGCAGATACAGTGGACACCTGCAGTACCAGCCGGAAATACAATGGACATCTGCAAATCCGACCGGCAAAAGGCCCAGGGGACGGTCAAGATTAACCTGATGCAAACATCTGTTCCAGACTCCATTTGTCTTTTGCCGAAGCTCAGACTATGGCGCAGGATCGGGAAGGTTGGAAGCTCTGTCTGACGTGTCTGCCTACGCGACCCGAAAGAAGCGGCGATGGAAGATGAAGATAACATTATCGCTGATTCTTCAACTGCCGAAATCTTAGCATATATTGTACATTTCATTCTCATTTAACGTAATATTAAAATTCACACTTTTAATTAGTCAATTCGTTGGTCACTGGAAGATGTGATGCTGTCTATTTAATGTTGCTTTGCCCCAGACTGCAGGGATTGTCTGATTTCCAGATAGCAGCCACTCGCCTGTTGTTGTTTCATCGCAAGATTCATATTCCATGCAGAAGACAAGAGGGACTTTGTTGCAAGGCTGTTTAACCTAATCGGATTGGCAGGGGTTTCGACTATTGCTCATGTCTGCCCGAATCTTGAACGGCACACACAGCCAGGTTTGCCACCCTGCACAACGCAAGACCGATCAATTTATAACACTAAAACGAGTCATCTTACCGCTGCAAGTTCGTTCCGACTTGGCCGTCCGACGTATATGTCCGCAAGTTTATGAGAAACGAAAAGTTCACGGAACGGCTCGTACTGCAAGGTCGGCATTTTGACGAAACTAGTCAGTACCGCTTCGAGGTCTGACCGAGAGCCGAGTCCGGAAGGCGGAACACAGGTTGTTCGGGCACCACGCATTTCTAAAGAAGCGACTTTAACAATGGCCGATTCACTGATTCATTTCCCAAAATGAGACACACAAAGTGAACCGAAATTAAACAATGACATCGCTTTTCACGTTGTCATTTACAGATGTTGACGGTGAGTCGGAACTGCAACGATATTTAAAAAAGCAAACGGGTCATGCCCGTGTCAGTGGCAAAAATACGGAACAGGAGAACAACAGCGTCAGCCTCATATCAACATTTAAACTAATTTCAAAACCACCTCGTCGACAGCGTTATAGCTAGAAATATGCCACAATTTCGACAATAAACAAAGCACAGTTCTACTGCATCATTTTAAAAACAAAAACTAACCTGTAATCGATTCGCTTCGATGTCATACCATGAAATTTACGCCAGTACATCCGCTTCTGTAGTCAAATCGTTTAGATTACAGATATCGGTGGGGTCTTTATTGACCTGGTGTTCCACGGGTCACAGTAGGGAAAGTTTTGAACTACACGTATTATGAGTTCAGGTTTTATACCAGCAGATGAGCATTAAAAGTACCCATATCTCGGTGGTTTCTAGCATATACTTCGATATATGCCGCACTCCGTATGA